GGGGTCAATGTATGCAAATATGCCAGTCCCATGGAGCGTCTGGGTAATGAAACAATTCCAAAAGTGTATACTTTCACGGGGCCAGCTCTTGCGAACACTGTGGTTCCACGAAGCAAACTGTAATTTCTCTCTATAGCTTGACGGTCGCGTGCCTATATGTGCCTATACATAACTCCATGGGAAGTGCTGAGCTTCGAACTTCTTGTAGTCAAGGGCTTTTTTGAGGTTCGCGTCGAAGTGGGTTGGTCAGGAAACCACACGTTCAATTCGCGCTTTTGCGAGGAGTCATTGAAATGGATAGGCTGAAAGCAATACATGTATTTTACGCGTTCACCATTTCTCCGTGTACACTGGTTCTGGCGGACTGACCACTTACAGCTGTTGATTTATATGGTTTTGGTCCATCAAGTCATAAACATGATTAGCCGTCTTGGTCTCACCCCCGTCCATCACTGGCCTCCAGTTTTTCCAGTGTTCCACAGCTGACCAGGAAGAAAACACTCTCTTTCCATCTGAACCATCCGAACCATCCATCGTTTCCAAACGCCTCCCCAGGCCGGCACCCCCCAAACCCCACCAAACACGTGTGGCTGAGCTCCGCGCCATGCCACCTCTCATCTTCAGGGGTACATCCACGGTGCCTCCAGCCGACCTTCAGGCTTTCGGAGCTCGCAAACATGAGCGAACGACAAGGGCATGAAAAGCCCACAGGCTCCTGGCACATCTGGAATTTCGGAGCTCCAAGAATTCAGGTGTTGCATGTGTTCCTTCTCTCTTCCGACCCCAGAAACACCTCGAGACACCCTGAGGACATTGGACATAAGCCCCGATTTCTTTTCTGGTAGGTCCATCATTGATTGTATGACGCTACGTGTGTTTGTGTGTTTTTGGGTGGGTGGGTGGAACTCACCTGAGGACCTAGGCTCGAAACAGCGTCTGCGATAGTTATGGTTGGCATGGCAGGGTTCCGAGTTGACAAAAGGAAGGTAGAAGGGACAATCAAAAGCCAAAGTGTAGTCCGGGATGGGGTTGGTCGTGATTTTTGATGTCGGGAGGTCTAGATTATATATATATATAATTCATCTATAATTCTATAGATGGGGAGATTCACAACTGTTCACAACCTCACCCATCTCAGGCAGTGAAACCTAGCCATTCCCAAACCATCCATGTATCGAACGAAATCTATGGGCACATGGAAGGGTCATTTTATGTAAGTTGTCATGGGGTAAGTGTAAGCAACTGTATTCTTTGGCTCCACTCGGGCCGAGGGAAGCGAGTTTTCCACTGAGTTGAGTGTCGGCAACAGGAGCGAGCAGCGGAAGCTTCCGCTGGAGGCCACTGTTGGAACATCGTCCCACAGTCAATCCAAAATAGCAAAATAGATCTAAGTAATTAAGTAACGAACTTGAAGTAAATCTAGGATCTAAATAGCTGTGTATACATATAAACATAAATCTTGACCAAGGAGCAGAACTTTGGCCACATTGTCTCCAACCTTAGAAGACTTCCATGGGCACATAACATCAAAACGTCAACATCCACAAGCACAAGCAGGGACCTGTGTCTGATGGGTTCAAGGGGACCAAAGAGAGTTGCGTGTTGTAGGTAGTCTCAGCAAGGCGGTTAAGCAAGTGATTGATGTCAAAGGTTTTTGTGTAGCCATTGATGACGGAACGAACCAACCTTGGTCCCACATCTGCCAAACAACAAGTGAACCTTGCGTGAAGAACCCGGGGTGGGCAATCTGGCGCAGAATGGGAGGGCAATCTTGCGTGCATTCCCCTGAGCAAAGCGGGCCTAACCACAAGACATATTGGATATTATATCACCATGAACGACTCCGTTGGCTCTGAAAGTTTGCTGCTAGCGGCTGATAGCGGCTGGACCCCTATCCAGCAGCCAAGTCTGTCCAAGAATCATCTCTCCCAATCTCTCACCTTTCTCCGCAGGACTCAATGGGAAAACTAACCACAAAGAAAATAGCATCGAACAAAAACCTGAACAAACACAGTAGCACAAAAAAGAACCGTGGCGCCTGCGCGCGAACAGCTACAACAACCGCTTGATGCGCTTGTACCGAGTCATGGAGTCTCTCTTCCGGCGAGACGCACCGGGACAGCAAGGTCTGTCCTCGCAAAGGGTGGTGGCAGGGTATTGCGCCCAACTGATCAGCAAGAATCCTTGGATCCATCCCCCCACCAAACACCAATCACTGACAACTGACTGGTGAGAAAACTCCTTGGGGAATGAGGGTGGCGGGATCTTACAAGATCTACAATGTTACAAGGAAACTCATGACGGTGGGGGAGCAGAACTTCCAGCGAATCAACATCTCAGGAGTCACAAAAGAGTGGTGTGGCTCGTCCCATCCAGTGAGTGGATACTGAGCACCCCGACCTCGAGCTCGCACCCTTTTGGGAACTGGTGATTCATACCTTCATTCCCCACCAGTCCCTCGCGCCAACACCAGTCCTCCGACCCCTCTTCCCCCCTCAGGCTGCCCGGCCCATCCGCTGCCCTCGCCCCCAGGATCGACGATGTCCAAACCTGCGGGAGGGATGGACCAGGCGAGGCATCCCACGAAGCCACTGGGCTGTGGCTGACTCCTCCTCCTCGCAACGAGTCGAGTCAGGCCGGTGAGGCTGCACGGCTGTCTCGGAGGCGTCCGCAGGCGGTGAAAAATGCTGGCCGGTGATCGAAAAGAATGAAGGATGTCAAACCCTAGGGCTCCAACTGCCTCCTGAGAAGATGATTGGGGCGGGTTTCGGGGTCTGAGTCTAACCACCTTCTGAGGATATGGTTGGAGCCCTAGGGAAACATCTCCAAGACCCAAATGACAAGATGCCACAATCTACCTGTGCCTCCTTCCCTGAACCCACTTGTGTCTCAAACAACATGCTGCAAGAAAACCCTCCCAAAAGCCTCACAAAGCACCCACCCTTCCTGCCACCTGCACCATTGCTCACACCTGCCAAGCTGCCACCCTTCCTGCCACCTGACTCGAGAACCTCGTCCGGTCGTCCGGGACCCCCAACGATGTGCCAGTTGAGGCTTCCCTTCGATCTCCACGCTCTTGTACCAAGGCCTCGGGAGCCGCCCACAGCCGTGCCGGGCCGGGGTGCCCCGAAATGATCACGGGATCAGGGGGGTCGTTGAACACGGTCAAGGGTCGAAGATATATATATATATATACCCAAACAGGGACTGCCATGGGACTAGTTGGGGTGGTTGACTGGGGGTCAATTGATAGGCATATATGGCAGTCCCCATTCGTCGTGTCTGGGTATATGGTTACGGTTCAAACCTTCACCCCACGTTGCGCCGAACCATGCGAGGTCCAGCGGCGAAACTTCGCCTTAAGGACCCGGGCCCTATTCGCGCAGCCTGATCCTGCAGTGTTGGCAGTGGAGAGGAGAGAGGGGAAGAAAGAATCCTTCACAAGTCCTGATCATCTCTAACTCAATGACGAATCGATGCGAATGAAATACTCGGCAAACATGCTGAGCTGGGTCGTGAAGTTGCTTCTTCTCGTCGGCTACGGGCATTTGATAGCATTGATTGACCCCTGTTTTGGAGCCAAAACATGGGCTTTTCCTATCAAAACAGAGGTCACATGGGTTCTAGGCCTGCCACTTCCTAGACAGATTTATACACATAACATTACAGGACATCATGTGAGTGGAATAGATCTTGGGAATCTCTCCACCTTCTCCGTGGGCATCGGAGATAAAAGACCTCTCCAGACCTCCCAAGACCTCACCGCGCGACATGCGCTGCGACATGGGAGCCGACATGGAGACACCATCCTCTCAATCGGCACCACCTTCTTGGAGCTCCCTCCAGCAGGTTTCGCCCGCCCGCGGCGCCGAACGGGGTCGCGGAGCCGACGACGGGCCTTGGGGACCTTGAAGCCGGTGTCGCGCATCTTCAAGGGACCACAAATCCGTTCTTCCATGATCACATCCAGCGGCTGGCGTGTGGAAATCAGCGTGGGACCGGGGGCGGGAAGGGAAGGGAAGGCAGGTCCTAAGAATCCAAGAGTGAATAACGGATTCACTTGCTTAAGACTAAAGAAGGCAAATCTGGTTCTGGGACTTCTGGTTTTGGGGAAACCTTGGGAATGTCCTTTCATTCCGGCAAACGTCTTCCTCCCTAGAGGATTATGCTTGGAAGTGCATGGTCAACGATCAACCACCAAAACAAGGGCTCAATGGGGCAAGTCCATGCTTTTGACGACTGTAGTGTCGACGGTTTGGCTGGATTTAGTTCCACACCTCCCAAAATACGAATCATGATCATAAAGAACTTACACTCTCCAGCAGTCACAAAGGGGTGGTGTTTAGTCCCATCCAGTGAGTGGATAATGGGCACCCCTACCCTCCATTTAGCACCCCTTTGTGACTGCTGGCTCTGACAAATTCATGTAATCCGATCCTACAAGAGCATGTTTCTCTACAAGCAGGTTGTTTTTCTCCACGAAACCAAATATCTGTCGGAGGGTAACACAATCTAAAAGTCGGCAGGGCTGAAGGTCCGCAAGCACAGGGGGTTTTCAACCCCCCCACAACCTAGCTAAGCGCTAGCTTCTTCTAGCTTCGGAGGGGGGAAGTGGATGGACATCCAAACCGATCTGCCGGCGCCTTGCCCGCTATGATCTCCAGAACCTGGGAGAGAAATGGAGATCCCTTTTTCGGTGAAACCAAGGTCAGTCGGTTGAAAGTGAGTGAGGGAAGCAACATGAAGCAGCCCAAATGACCCAAAGATCGCTTCTTGATCTCTACACTCCCGAGGAGCAATCAGAGGTGGTGGATGGCCATGAAAGGATAGTCTATGATTTCAGGAGTCTCCCAACTAAAAAGAAACACGCATTATGAAAGAACTCCGGACTGTGTTCATCCTTGATCCCCTGAAAACAGGTGGTGGAGAAGACCCAAAGGTAGAAAACTCACCTGCCAAGTAGATCAAAGTCGCCTGTTTTCAGCTCTTGGGGCCAACTTGCATCACTGGCAGTCACTAGTCCTTCAGCTTTTAGTGCCCATCCCAGCCCCGAAAAGCAGCAGTTCCGAAGCCAGTTCCGAAGCGCTCAGCTGTCCCAGTTCCTTTTTCGGCTGACCGCTCAGCGGAGGTCTTCCCACACGAAGCGCGCTTCCTCGCCCGCGGCACCGCAGAGGAGCGAGCGCAAGGGCAATTCCGTCCTCAGTCAGCAGGCTTGGTGCTTTTCGGGGAGACGTGGCTTGGCAGGGGGGAGGTGGGTTTCACCGGTTTCACCCGATTCTTTTTGTGGGTTTACAAGCATCTTTTTTCCCAGAGGTTCTCCTGCTCCGATGTTAATGATACAGCAAGTGTTTTCTTGATATAAGTCAGTATTATATTGTCTCAAGTGCACTAGATGGCACCCGAGGCAGCGACCACTGTAGCTGACTTCTTTAGGGACTCATTGCACCAAATGTGGGGTTCACACACCCCTTTCCATCCTAGAAACTACATGCATTGAATTTCAAGTCGTAAACACTAAGATACACTAAGCGCCTTCCCCCCAGATTTGGAAGACCATCAACAAGAGTTTGGGGCAAACCGTCCAGCTTGGTGCTGGTTAGTTTGGTCGGACAAAGCCATGCCGTGCCGCAATAGAACAGTTTGCTCCAGGGAATCAAGACCCTAGGCCCTAAGCCATGTACAGGAATAGAATAGGCCTTTCCAGTACGGCTGCCAGAGGCTCCGCATATCTTGGACCCTCTACTCAGTTCTCCCTACATGCCGGGCCAGGTCGCCACATGCCCGGCAGAAGCAAATCGTGGTGCGGATCGTCGCCACGCCAAAGCAAAGCAGTGCAGTTCATGGGCCCCAGTTGGTCGTTGATGCCCTGCCGCTGAAGCCACCCGACATCCATGGATGCCCCCAAAAAACACCAATGATATCCAAACCTAATTATATATATTTATATATATATATATTAATATAATATATATGCCTGAGGAGGGGCCCGTGAATTGGGTTGGAATTGCCCAAAGTCACCACAAGTAATTAGATATCAAATAGAACAGCCAAACAAACACATTCCAGCATCAATGGCCAAATCTGCGAAAGAAGATTCACTAAAGCCTCACCTGCACAAAACGCTTCAAAACCAAAACCCCCGCGGCCCTCCTTCACCCGCTGCACCAACCTCACCCGGCGCCTCCCAGCGCACTCGGTAGCGCGCGTGGCCGCCCGGTACAGAGCTCCGGCGAAGCTCCACGGACTCGTCGACGGCCGCCGGGGTGAGGCCGGGCAAACGCTCCTGGCGGGGCGTCGCCCCTGGGCTTGGAGGCTCCAGGGGCTGCGCTGGAGTCGGCGCAGTCCCGACATGCTGCTTTTTCCATGTTGAAGTCACCGACCAATCCTATCAACATGTGGTTGGGTGATGGAAGGTCAGGGGATTTGGCTTGAGGAAGATCCTGCTTTCCCAAACAATGACAGCATCTCTCCCGAACAGCCCATGGGCTATATAAGTTAGAAGAAAATAGAGGGACACCTCAGTGAAAAACAGGGGTCCATCACCATGTAGTACCAAATAGTAACAGGATGTGATATCATTTGGCATCTACCCTTGAGGTTTCCATCACCAGTGCGCAAAACTCTGAACCTTCTATGCCACACATCGGCGATCTGCTGAGAACTGCCCTGCCGCTGCGTCTCCTGCACCTCCTGCAGCACTTCCCAAATCTCCGTCTTCTCTGCATCACTGAGCGCTGCCCAGGGGCTGGCCAAATGCGCTCCTCCTCCGGCCAAGGTGTCGCAGGGCACCTGACGGGTCGCTGACGGCTTCAGCGGCTGTTGGGATCTTCAAAATCCCCCACAGGCTCAGCCGGGAGCGTCTGCTGGGCATCTTGAATTGGTTGCGGAGTTCAATCATCAGGCTTCAAGTACCTCGTGAACCTGGTGAACCCGTGCAAACAAGAAAACATCAGCTCACAACATATCTGCTGGGTTGCATGCTGAGCGTGAAAGAGTGGCGCTGAATAGCACGGCTGGATGCAATATGATGCAACGTGCCACGACCAATACGGCTGAAGTCTCGGGCGAAACGTAACTCCATGTTCTGGCAATTCTTGACTCGATCAGGGCATCAAGACCAAACATCGACAAAACAAAAGGAACCATCCGCTGAAGCACGCTGGTGTCTGAGAATCCCAAATCTCAAAGGGCAGGGACACAAAAAAACATTTCGCAGGGATTGATCCATATTGAATCCCAATGATAAGCACAATGAAGATTCACACAAACGCCTGGCATGCTTGGTACTCCATGTATCCCCATACAGGTTTAAACGAAAAGGACTGTTTTGAGCGCTCAAATTTTGTGAAGTAGAGTAAGTGAATGGTGTTTGAACATTGGACCATATATAACATATATTAGAACATATATTAATATATTCTAATTTCGGATGTGTGCAACTGCTGTGCAGCTGTTCCCAGGTTATTTGTTGCCCCGGGCCCCAGGCCGACGGAGAAAGCACATGAAAACACTTGACGCCACTGGATGAACGTCCGTGACACTGGACAGGGCGACGTGCGCCACAGTGATCGGTCCTCAATGGGTCGATCTCAAGTCCGAAACCTGGGATGGCTGGGATGCCAGGGTTGTTCGGTTTCACTCCAGCCTGGGAAACTGATGTCGGAGTGTGTGCCTTGAGTGTTTTGGGGGGTGTTCCCTGAACCAAAACATCCGTTGAGTCCATCCCAATCCAAAGTCCCTTCTTGAGGCAGCCGGCCAGTCCTGTCTCCAAAGTACGCATGCCTTGCCCAGCTTTTCCGTCGTCTCTTGGGCTGCTGTCGAGCTCTAGTTTGCACAGACTCTGCTTGGCCGTTGTGAAAGTGTCGACAGTGGTTGACCAATCCCCGTAAAGTCTGAACATTGCCAGCCCTCTGAACATGCTTTAGACGCCGTGTGCTGTGCTTCTCACGGGGGCCATGAGAAGCACTCCCCGGGAATAATCATTGGAAGTGGATCTGAACTGGCCCCTTTAAATGACTATTTTCCTTCACAAATAGCGATCAAAGAGGTGGCTTTCCACTTCCATGTTTATTTGTGCTTATTTCAGGGAGTGTGTCTGTTGAAGGCGCAGCAGTGAACATGACCTGCCCAACTGGTTATTTTACAAGAACATCTGTTGTGAAAGGGCTCCCTCTTTGTTCATCCTCGATCCACTGACACAACTTTCTCAGATGAGAAAACCACAAGTAGAACACCAACTTGCCATACTGGAGCAACTTGCAGATACTTGCAGTCTTCGCCCCCTGGCATCACTGTGTAGCAGTCAGCCACTAGCACTTCACTTCAGCTTTCTCGTCCTTCGGCACCTCCAGCACGGACCCGAGCACGGCCAGCTGGTTTCGGGGAGAGTCGCGCGTTTGCAATACATCCGTTGAACACACAGGTACCGGGGGTACCGGGGGTAGCTCCAAAATCCAGTTGCAAAAGATTGAAACAGTACTTGGCACCATGCGCAACTGAGGTTGGTGCCATCTACTTTCTGAGCTGAGTACCACTGTGGCTTAAGGCCAGTTTGCAGCAAAAGGCTGAGAAAGTCCTGACTGAGAGACAAATAGTTTCTTATACATGAAGTTTGTCAAGCCTGCTGGTTTGATCAAGTCTCTCCTCAGGAAGCAACGGAACACAACCCTTAGTAGCGTTAGTGGGAGGTTGCTGGTCCCTTATACAAGTCAGAACTTCCAAGCAGCGCTGCTAGTCTAAGTAAAAAGGTTTCTCTACATCCAGGACTACACACAGGATCTTACTTCACAAAAACGGTGCAGCGATTGCCAGGGCCGTTTTTGCGCAACTGCGTCGTAACCGTCCTGCCTGGATTCCGTACTGCTTGTAGCCCGTCCAGGCAAACACACATAGCACTTGCATGGAAAAACCCATGACCTGCATGGTGGAGGGCTGGCATTCCGATCGACTGCATTCTTGGATGGTTAGTGAGTCACTGAACACTCTTTCTTGGCCCTTCCTTCCATACAACATGTTAAATACACAGTGAGCACTGGGGAGATATCGACAATGCATGACATCGTCGCTTCGGAAGTCTTACAGCACCTGGTCTCGTCGCCTTCGGCACGACCCCCGGTGCCCGGGCTCTCTTCGGTTCACCAGCCGACTCACGCAATGGAGGAGATACACGACCCATGGGACTGGAAGATAGGACTGCCGCCCCAGAAAGACCCCCGCTGGCACCACCCCTTTATGTAGGTAAATATACCAGTCCCATGGAGTGTCTGGGTATATATAGAATAGATTCGATATGACACTTTGAAAGCGTGGTCCTTGTCAGCATGCCTGGGCCTATTTCAAAAACACACCCATCCTGAGAAAAATTATATATGTAACATTATGTAACAATAACTAACCCCCAAAAAATAAACATCCTAGTGCCATCCGCTTTCTTGAGTCTTTCTTGCTCCAGGAAGGTGACGTCTCATCCTTCGCGCCTGGGTCATGCTGATGGCCTCGTGGATGAGGAAGGCCGACATGCATACCACACAAATGTCCTTGATGTTGCCTACCAGCCAGAAAACGGAGCAGCAAGAAAGACACAAAAATCTTAAAAAGTATATAACCACATCAATCACAAAGCAAAGGCCAGCAAGTACAACCACTGAAACTTTTTCGAGCAGCGATTTTACTTCTGTTGGAAGGCAATGTTGTTTCCTTGTTTTGGTGGCACATGCCACCCTGGAAGGAAGAATAGGAGGATCGGTCGTGGCATTTCTTCACCCAACGACCACACGGCTTCCCCCTCCAAAAGTAAATCCGCTTCGTGCCCGCTTCGGGTGATCTGAGAGGTGAGGAAGTGAGTGGAAGATTCCCTTCGAAAAATCGTCCAACCAAATTGATGCGACAGCTTTTCAGAGCACCTGTGAGAATGTAGGACACTGGCGAGAGGTATTTCAAGAACCTCACAGCCGCGGATTTTCGCAAGCGACTTAACAGGTGGAACGAACCTGCAAAAAAAAGCAGAACACACAGGAACCATAAATTGTGACTGATCCTATTCACGAAGACATACATCAGGGTGTTACTGTTAAATGTTAGAGGTGCACGCCAAAACGCACCAAAAAGTGTCCTCATCTCCCGAAACCCTTCTAACATGCCATCAGCTTGCACGATCTGGCCATCAGGCCTATTTTCTGGTGCATGATCACCCTAGCCATTCCAACTTGGGACAGCTTGAGAAAAAATTGGAAGACAACCACCATCACAAGCCACAAAAAAAGCTCATAAAAAGGATCTTCACCCTGACAAGCACTCCCTTCACAAGACAACGGTTCCCTTCTGACCGAAATCGGCGCAAACGCCGGGGATGTCGCGGGTCCGGTCTGTCACGCCGGTCCGGTCCCTCGCTCCACGCGGGTCCGGTCTACGCCTCGCCCGAACCAGGTCACGACCCGGTGGGTTCGGTCCAACGCGGTGCAGTCGCAGTTCAAAGTCTTCCAAACGGCCGGGGCACACGGCGATCAAAATATTCAGAAGGAAGGCATTGAGGATGTTCAAGGACAAGAAACCTTTCCAGGCCCACAACTCCTGTGAGTGGTTTGGAGTGATCCTCTGAGTGGCTTGGAGATTCGAGACCCGTGAGTGTCGTGACAATCAACGTCTTTCGAGAAAAACCGTCTCCATCAGAGGTCTTGCGGTCACATGTGAATTTCGATTTGGAGGCGGAGAGAAAAGCTCAACTCCCTGGAGGTCGCAAAAAACGCGGAGGTCGCCCGTTCATCAAAGGGAGGAAATCATGACAAGGATTGAGCCTGTTCTTTTTTCCTCTTGCCTAGTCAAATGACACAACTTCCAAGGTTGATGGGTTCCGAGCAGGCAGCAAAAGAACAGTTCAAGTATAAATCTTCAAACCCTGGCTTTTTGCATCTTTGTGCGCAGCTGTTTTGCTGGACCTGGAGACTCAGGTTCCCTTTTCATGACCTGATTGATCATCAGCTGTCAAGAAACTATAACATTCCTGGGCCAGGAATTGTCTCAACGTGTCTCAACCCAGCCTCCCCTACAAACAAGGGTACGCCCTCCTGAAGGGTTTGGAGATAAAGTTCGAGCATTCGAGATAATGTTCGATTTTGGAGTAGGATCCTAATCAAATAATGTCGTAGATGTGAGTGTATTGGAATAGATTTGGTGGTCGGTTGGTCCTCCATTTCTTGCGGTCTCACTCACCTCATGACAGCCATCCCCCAACATTCATTCAACATGGATAGCCGGGTCTACCGTTGACCCCGGCCCGGCCCGAGGCCCGGCCCGGCCCGGCCCGTGCGAACTCCCTTCCCCGGCACAGCCGTCAGGAGGCCAGCTGACGCAGTGGGCAAAGGAAGAATCTATGCACCAAGATGTATCCACAAACATGTTAGAGGAGGGATCGGCAAAGTGTTTTTAGTCTGTGCGAATAAACCCCTTCTACTGTTGTCAGTCTACGGAGCTGTATTGGGGGTTTAGTTTTGATTAAACCCTTTTTGGTCGATTGATATGCATACCCTTGGGTTTGGGGTTTGGATCAGGATGTAAACCCTTTGTGATCGAGTGAGGGCCCTTACTCCACCAAAAAGGGTTTAATCAAAACTAAACCCCAAGTACAGCTCCGTAAACCGACAATATTAGAAAAGGGTGTATTCGCACAGACAAAAAACCTGCCGATCCATCCTCTATGACGTGTTTGTGGGCACATCTTGATGCATAGATTCTTCCTTTGCCCACTGCGTCAGGTGGTCTCCTTACGCCACGCCGGCGCGGTGGTGTACCCG